AGGAAGAAGAAAATGTATAATAAAAATATGATTATCTAACAAAGAATGAGGCTGAACCCAAACAAAACAAAACAACAACAAAGATTACCTCTAGGAAGGGGGGAGAAAATTGGGTGGAGGGGACCACAATAGAAGCTAACTCTCTTTGAATATATCTTGTGATATAGTTTTGACTTTGAAATCATGTGAATTTTTTTTTTTTTTTTTTTTTTGCGGTACGCGGGCCTCTCAGTGTTGTGGTCTCTCCTGTTGCGGAGCACAGGCTCCGGACGCGCAGGCTCAGTGGCCATGGCTCACGGGTCCAGCCGCTCCACGGCATGTGGGATCCTCCCGGGCCGGGGCACGAACCCGTGTCCCCTGCATCGGCAGGCGGACTCTCAACCACTGCGCCACCAGGGAAGCCCAAAATCATGTAAATTAAAAAAAAATATAAAACAAATTAAAGATTTATAAAGCAATTTTATATAAAGCAAAGTAATACAAATAAACCTAACTGTGTATTGAATTTGGTATAACCACACAGATAGTATTTTTAAAAGTGAATTTAAAACATAGTAATTGGACTGTTCATCACTAGTGGGATATGTTTTGAGGACAAAATAATGGAAAAAGGAGAAAAAATAAGATTCTTTGTAGTAATTATATTATTAATAAGAATATTGGCATTGTTATTTTGAAACCATTATAAATATTATAGCATATATTTTATAGTGTGTGTGTGTGTGTGTGTGTGTGTGTGTGTGTGAGCACTATAGCATAAAAAAAAACATGAATCTGACCAAGCCCCTATATCTACTCCTCATTTTCAGGAAACACAGGGGCCAGAGAAACATATTAAGTGATACCAGGGAGATGAATGCAATCAACCAAATCCAGAATGTGGGAGAAAATGACAAGGTAATGACCTGTTTCTTCAGTAAACCAATTGCAAAGAAAACAAAAGGTGGGGGGTGATATAGATGAAAAGAGACTTAAGAGACATACCAAACAAATTATTTGCAATTTCTTCCATTGAGGGCTGGATTCTAATTTCTCTCCTCTTGAACTGGCCTTAGTGATTTGTTTGACCAATAGAATGTAGTAAAAATGATGTTCTGGGAATTCTGGAGCTAGATCATAAGAAGCCTGACAGATGCCACATGGGGCCTATTGTAACACTGTCTCTGGGATTCCTGAGCCTCCATGTAAGAAGTCTGAGTACTCTTACACCAGCTACTGGTGGATAGGCCAGCATGTGTAAGCACAGGTGCAGTCATGTGAATGACGCCATCTTGGATCCTCCAGACTAGCCATTGTCAATGTCACATGGACTAGAAGGATGGAGGAAAGGATGAGAAAGAAAACAAGAGATACATTTTAGGGAGTGTACAATTTGAAAGGCAACATTATTTTGTGATGAAATTGATACTTTATAAATTGTGTGGTGATACTGAGGAATTAATTTGTTTTATTTGAGGTTTGAAAAATAGTGAATGACAAGCAGTTGGTATGGGAAGAGAGAAAGAGAGTAAAAAAAGATGCATAATTATTTCTCCCTTTATGAATGTGCATTCCTGACAGCCCTGAGCACTAAGATTGTCCTGCAGGGAATATGATTAAAGTTACAAAGAGGAAAACAAAATAAGTAAGTCAGCTTTTGATCCTGCTGCTATATTTACCCACAAGAAAGGAGGCAGCTCTCAGGTGGGCCTTTGTCTAAGTAATGTCCTGAAATCCAAGTGTAAAAGAACAATATGAAACCTCAATTCTCCCAAACGGTTTGGGGCAAGTTCAGCCCTTGAGTCCCTGGGGGGCTTGGTTCCCAAGGAGACTAATCCCACTTGCTCAGCATTAAGTATCAGTGGGGCAAAAGAGCTCTAGTTTGGAGCTCTGCAGAGAGGCCCGAGTGCAGGCTGGAGCCAGGTCCCTTGGCCCCATAGGAAGTGAAATGGATTGATGTCAAAACCACTCAAGTGAGCGTGCTTGCTCAGGGTACAGGAGGAGGGGCCTGATGGGCTGGCAGGAGCTGGCCTCTTACTTTGCTGAAGCTCATTCCATCCGAAATAGAGCTCTTCCCCAAAGAAAAGGGGAAAAGCAACTGAGACCTTGAGGTGGGGTCCACATGTGCCATTTAGCTGCACATTGGAAGCACTAAGGATTTATTTTGGTCTCAGTTATAGAGCTATTTCAAGCAGAAGTTGCTCTTTGTTGCCTTCTTCTCTATAGTTTTCCATAGACACCATTGCTTTCATATGACCATGTTCCTACCCGGCTGTTCCCAGAGATACTACTTGTTTGCTTGGCACACTCAAGTGTATCATTTAATTCTTAGCTCAAATGGTACCTGTTTATGCAGGCTTCCCCAACTCCTCTGGTCAACTTGAAGGTCTTTTATCCCATCAATTATTGTACCTTTAATTTACTTCTATTAAGAAGTATCACATTATATTACAATGGCTTCTTTGCATGTCTGTCTGTCCACCAGAAAGGGTAGAAATCATGGCTTCTTATCTCTGTATCCACAGTACCAGCACAGTGCTGAGCACATTGTTGGTGTCAGTATCTTTCTGTTGAATGATTAAGTGATTGGATGGATATTTTATGCATAAGGATCAATGTTGTGAATCAGGCTATAGAAATTCTAATCCATGAATGTCTTATATTTGTATACAGAGCTTTATGGTTGACAAAGAACTTCCATTTCCATTATCTCACTGATTTTCACAATAGCCTCATCAAATTGATTCACATGATTATTCCCATTTTATAGACGGGAATATTGAGGTACAGGAGGTTAAGTGAAATTTTATAGTCAGCTGGATAATGAGAGGGTATATTGGACTCCAGTCTCATCTCTGGTTCTAATTTTAGCACTCTCTCTATGATATTACACTGCTTTTTTCTGTTTCTATAACCTGCAAGTATAGCTGCTCTCTTTCATTTGGAAATAGTCACTCACTTTGTTGGGAGAAAGAACAAATGATGCTGATTTTATAGGGTGATATGTTGGTAAGAAGTAGGTGGAGCCTAAAGAATCAAAAACATGGGCATTTGTTGAGCTGCTTTTTTGTGCCAGGAACTTTCATATATAGCATCTCACAACAACCCTGAGGAGCTGAGATGATCTCCATTGAGCACATAAAACAAGCAAGATTCAGGGGTATTATTTGCCTCTTAGGATGCCTCATTCTCACAAAGACTCTGAGAACAGTTAGGACCACTTCCATTTTTCAGATGAGGAAACTGAGCTTTAGGAAGACAGATTGACTTGTCCAAGGGCACTCACCTAGCAAGTGGCAGGCCAGAATTTGAACCTGTCCTCATCTAATGCCAAATCAATTTTGATGCTCAGAACTCCAATGATCTGGAAACAGACTTTTACATATTAATATTTTCATATTCTATTTATTTTGAATGTGATTATGTGAGGGCTTAGCTAACTCTGTGGGGATTACGAGAGATTTTTCAGACTAAAGATTTCAATTAAATATATTGTCCTCTGCAATCTCGGGATTTGTAAGAGCTGCTCAGTTGAAAGAAAGTAAAAAAAAAAAGAGTTAGTGCTCTTGGCTGCCAGACGCAGAGGTCAATGGAATGGTCCTGCCGAAAGGCAAAGGGAAGTGCTGACATCCACATCCGAGGGGGGAGAAACACAACTCAGTGACAAGCCCACACAATTTTCTGAGTGCAAGGTCACCAACAATAAAAAAAACAGTCGAATCATGGAGGACAAAATCTTGTGTGTTACTCAAACGAAAGGTACATTATAATTGAGCCAACTTGAGTTAAAAAAAAGTTTGTTTCAGCATGTTGGCTTGGGAAAAGTACTTCATCTCCCAAATGAAAAGTGTTCATCTGGCCCTTTCCTTTTGGTAAGGCTGTACCTTCAGGGTGCTCAAAAATGGTTTTGCTACATCCTGAAAAATGAGGCTTAAAGAAAAGAGTTTTGAAAGAGATGGTCTAGGGACTTCCCTGGCAGTCCAGTGGTTAAGACTCTGGCTTCCACTGCACACGGCACCCAAAAAAAAAAGAAAAAAAAGAAAGAAAGAAAGAAAGAAAAAAAGAGATGGTGCCCCAGGTAGACTCTGCACCTAAACTATAATAACTTATTTAGAGAACACTTTATCACACACACAGTATCTTCATGCATGTTACCTCACTTAATCCTCATGAACACCCTCTGACTGAGGTGTTCTATCACATATTAGATGTTCATGTAAGGAAACATAGTCACCTTTTTGTGTTTTAGAGAAATAAGGGCAAATACTCATCACAGGCTATAGAACAGTCAATAGATAAGGATTTTCCACAGGATGTTTCCTTTAAAGATCACAAGTGCCCTGTGAGGTGGGCAACCTTACCTGCATTTAACATGAGTAAGCTAAGGCAGAGAGAGGTCAGCTGGTTTGCCCGAAGCTATGTACCCATCAGAGCAAGGATTTCAACCTGTCACAGAGCTATTGAGTGGTGAGGCTAAGACCAGAACCCGTCTTTTCTGAATCATCTTTCATGCTCTGCCAAATTACTCATTTCCTCTATCCCAAGAAACTTGCCCAGGTGAAAGTGGGTCTAAATGAACTTCAAGGTGATTCTTGAAATGCAACAGAAGTCCCAAAAGGGCAACTTAAATGGCATGACAGTTAAAGGAGAGGTTCCAGTCCATATTTTGTCCTAAGAGGCTGAGAGTTTTATACACACACAGGGCTGTTTCTCTAAAGCACCAGCTAGCTTAGTGGGAGTGACTTCCTTGCCTCCTGCTGTCTACTGCTAATAAAAGATGGGTCAAGTGCTGGCCTCAGTTTGCTATAAACAATTAACAGGTAGAAGAAAGAGCATCAGAGCTGAGAGTCCTGCAGGAACTCGAGTTAGAATCTTAGGACCAGGGCTAGAGCTTGAAGAGACACTAGTTTCCTTCTCCTATCTGATAGGTGAGGAAGCCGAGAGAGAACATAAGTTTTGTCAAGGGCTTAGGAATGGCTTTGGAGTCAGCCTGGACTGGATATAGCTTTGGCCAACTCACTGAAACTCTCTAAGGCTCAGTTTACTCATTTGTTAGATGGTGATAATAATACTGATACGTACTTTATAGGACTATTGTTCAAAGGTTAAATGAGGAAATGCATGGACAGTGCCTGGCATAAGCAAGCTCCCCGTAGCTGATGGTTACTATTGTTACCAGAGCTGGGACTGAAACCCACGGGTCTGGACTCTTGCCTTCTCAGCCTCATGGAGAGTGCCCAGCGCCAGGGCGTGGTTGTACCGGAGCTGGAGTTTGAGGACGCGCCATCCCAACCTCACGTCTTGCGGTTGGAGCTAGCCAAGAGAAACGCGCGGGGCGAAGGGAAACTAAGGGGTTAAGGCGATGAGCTTGAGAAAGCCCAGAAAACTAGAAAAGCGACCCCCTCACCCCCACCCCCGGCTAAGCCCAGCTAAGTAAGCCCCTCCCCTTCGCCACCGGGGCGGTCGCCGCGCGCTCCCTCCCTCCGCCCCTCGCTTACAAGACCTAATGAGCTCCCCCGGGAGGCCGAGCTGCGAGCCCGGCCCCAAGCGAGGAAGCTGTGCCGCGCGCACAGCGCCAGGGCGGGAGCCGGGCCTGGGCGGCGGGCGGGAAGCGGCCGGGGGCGCACGGGCGGCGCTGCGGGCCGCCCGGGAGCCGCGGCGATGGCAGTCCAGGCGGCGCTCCTCAGCACGCACCCCTTCGTCCCCTTCGGCTTCGGGGGCTCCCCTGACGGGCTGGGAAGCGCCTTCGGAGCCCTGGACAAGGGTTGCTGTTTCGAGGACGAGGAGACCGGGACACCGGCGGGCGCGCTGCTGGCGGGCGCCGAGGGCGGGGACGTGCGCGAGGCCACCCGCGACCTGCTCAGCTTCATTGACTCGGCGTCCAGCAACATCAAGCTGGCGTTGGACAAGCCCGGCAAGTCGAAGCGGAAGGTGAACCACCGCAAGTACCTGCAGAAGCAGATCAAGCGCTGCAGCGGCCTCATGGGCGCCGCGCCCCCGGGCCCGCCCTCCCCGGGCGCCGCCGACACGCCCGCCAAGCGGCCGCTCGCCGCAGCCAGCGCCCAGACGGTCCCGGTCCAGGCCCACGGCAAGGCGGCCCCCCGGCGGGAGGCGTCGCAGGCCGCGGCGGCCGCCAGCCTCCAAAGCCAGAGCCTGGCCGCGCTCTTCGACTCGCTGAGCCACGTCCCTGGGGCAGCAGATCCTGCCGGGGTTGCGGAGGCGGCGCCCGCGGCCGGGCTCGTGGGAGCGGGCGCTGGGGGCGTGGGAGGGGACGCGGCCGGCCCTGCAGGGGGTCCGGCCGTCCCCGGCGCCAGGAAGGTCCCGCTGCGGGCCCGCAACCTGCCCCCGTCCTTCTTCACCGAGCCGTCCCGGGCGGGCGGCGGCGGCGGGTGCGGCCCGTCGGGGCCCGGCGTGAGCTTGGGCGACCTGGAGAAGGGCGCCGAGGCCGCGGAGTTCTTCGAGATGCTGGGGCCCGACTACGGCGCCGGCACCGAGGCGGGCGTCTTGCTCGCCGCGGAGCCTCTCGATGTGCTCCTCACCGGAGCCGCCGTCCTAAGGGGACCCCCGGAGCTGGAGCCCGGCCTCTTTGAGCCGCCACCCGCGATGGGGGGGAGCCTACTGTACCCCGAGCCCTGGAGCGCCCCGGGCGGCCCCACGACCAAGAAGTCACCCCTGGCTGCCCCCCGCGGTGGCTTGACCTTGAACGAGCCCTTGCGTCCCCTGTACCCAGCCGCCGCGGACTCTCCGGGCGGGGACGACGGGCCCGGCCTTTTGGCCTCTTTCACCCCCTTCTTCTCAGACTGCGCTCTGCCCCCGCCGCCCCCGCCCCCGCAGGTGTCCTACGACTACAGCGCGGGCTACAGCCGCACTGCGTACGCCAGCCTTTGGAGACCGGACGGGATTTGGGAAGGGGCGCCCGGGGAGGAGGGGGCGCACCGGGACTGATTGCGCGGTACCCTTCTCCCCCAGTGGAGACTGCTGTGGAGGCGACCGCCTCTGGGTCTCTCCTAAGCCTAGAGAACGATGGGCAAATGCACGTGGAGTTGAAACGGGATTTTAAAAATTCAGTTAATAAAAGAAACTTAAGAAAAAGAGATGAAGAGAAGTTGGGGGTTGTTTTAATCACAGCCTCGTGTTTAAAAAAAAAAAAAAAAAAGCCGTTGGAAGGTTCTTACCGGATCAGACAAGCCAAGAAATCAAGACGGGATTTGGGGAATGGGGTGGGGATGTCGGAAGGGGCAGGAGGTGGTTTCTGTAGCCACCTGTCCCTTCTCCAACTTTTCATCAAAAGGTCAGTGTATTTAGTGTGCTTGCCCCCTCCAAACAGTGCCCTGGTCCCTCCCCTCCCCTGCCCTTAGAGTGCGTTATGAATTAAAGTCTGTATTGAAAAGAATGGAGCAGAGGTATGTTGTTATTGATTTGGGTGTTTTCTTAGAGGACGGTTTCCTGTGTGGTCTCTGCCTTGTTAGGTGAGAGTGTTATTGAGGACGTGAGGCCAGTGGGCACTGCCGACCTCCCCTGTGCTGGTCCCGGGTCTCTGTCACTTTTCCTCCTAGGTTTCTTCAGGCTCCCTTCTTTCTTCCATCTCTTTAACTTTCCCACTCTTATCAGTGCCCTTGTTCACTTTTCTTTCTCTGGCCTCTCATTGCTCTATTTTTTCCTGTGGGCTTTTCTTGCAAATTTCTGATGTAGGAGGCTTAAATTTAGCAAACCTGGGGTCCATTTCTCTCCTTTTCCCATTCTTCAACCACTTTGGGAGGGGGAGACTGGGCAAGTTATAACATCTTTGCATCTAAGTTTCTTTATCTGAGAGGGTGGGGACGACGATATTTCCTCCACTTTTCACTTCTTCACAGCTTGTTGGGTAGCTCAGAGGGAAAATACATAACATGCCTTGAGCACCCCACCCCCAGGCCAGTGCTTGATTGGGTCTGCAGGTATATATACTTTATATACCTATATAAATGTTTTCTACACATGGAAGCCATTAGGACTGTAAGTCCCATGCTCTTTGTTGGTCCATCTATTTGCTTGGTGATTGCATTTTCCCTTACAAGCTGTACACTCTCTCTACCCTCTGTCATTCTGTTCCACTCTGCCCCTCCCCCCCCCGTTGGTTTCTGCCTCCCTGTGCTTCCTCACACCCTTATACCCACATTCTCTCCATTAAAGGGCATAGTGAAGGTGTGAAGTTTCCCAAGGAGACTCTCCCAGACTGTCCCCTGGAGTCTGATCCATTCATCAGAGGGAGACTGGGGAAAAATCAGAAATGTTTTAACCAGCCATGAAGTGGCAGCACTCATGGCATATCAGGATCATTGAAGGGCAGAGGAGGAAAGACCGGGTGGGAAGTGAGCCGCTGGAAAGAAAAAAGTGAGCCCTTCAGTTCTGCAGCCTTGCCGGTGAAAATGTCAGGAGAGACCAACACCCAGACAATACGAGATGTTGCCTACTGGTTATGTTGCAGTGGAGAGAGAGCTGCCTCTGTTCAGGCAGCCAAGATAGATTGTAAGAGTATCCACATGTGAGAAAGTTGAAACCCAGCGTTATGCAAAAGATTTTAAAGTCTAGATCAGTGTTTGCCCAAATCAAAAGTACTGCGATCTTTTCAGAAAAGAATTTGGGAAAAAAAACAAGATACTGAGCCATGGCAGACAGCTTTCAATACTATCCCTAAGTCACTTTCTTCTGAATAAAACCTGTCTTAAGAAAGCACCACAAGAAATACAGCAGAGAGTCCTGTTAACTATGAAAAGAACGTTTGCAAGTTTAGAAACTTGGTGTCTATTAAATTGCGAGGTGGTGACAAATGATTAATTCCACTGTGCTAGCAGAATATTATTCAGCAATTATTTAATTTATTGAAATGACTTTATGCTGTTATGATCCCCATTTGAAAAGTGAGGCTCAGACAGGTTAAAATAACTTGTCAAAAGCAAGTAGTGGGTCCAAGATCCAGATCTGTAAGTGTCCTGTCACCGAGACCTGTCTGTTACTTTGCTTCTGCCGTGCTTTGTTAGTGTGTACGGTTTCCAGTCCCCTGCATTACCCTACTAGCAGGGATTCAACATCACCACCATTGACATTTTGGGCAGGTTAATTCTTTGCTGTGGGGACTGCCCTGTGCATAGTAGGATGTCTAGCAGCATCCCTGGCCTCTACCCACTAGATGCCGATAGCACTCCCCTACTTGTGACAATCAAAAATATCTCCATTACCACAAATCCCCTGGGGGGCAAAATTGCTACCAGTTGAAAACTACTATGCTAGACAAATATATAAGCAGCATCTGTGGGGTGCCTGACACTTTCACGTACATGACCTCATTTAATACTTACAAAGGTTTGTGCTTGGGTATTGTTATTATCCTCACTGTTGTAGGTGAAAAGTAAGAAGGGCAAAGGGAGGGGCTAAATCAATCAGCTTAGCTACATCTCATCTCTGCTAATTTACCAGCTATGGACTAGCTAACTGTATTGAAAGGAAGTCTTCCCCTTGGCAAAATTGGATAACTATCCCAAAGGGTTATCATGAGGATTTGGCATAGGGTATGTATAAATGCCCACCACCAGAGAAAGATAGTTCTTAGTACCAGGCAGCCAAGTCTTGGCATTATGTCAAGGTTCCAAACCATCCAGGATGCCAAGAATGTGTGCTTGGCCCCTATGTAGCCTCCAAATTGTCCCATCTCTGATTCCTCTTCTCCCCATGTTGCTTTCCAGTCTGAGCTCATGTATGCCTGACTGTGCCACCTACCACAGTACAGTAAGGAGTGCCCATTAATAATAGTCCTGCCAAAGGCTGAGTATATTTTTTGCTTCCTCTCATGTTTCATTTTCTCCTGAAACCTGTTAAAAAGTATTTTTTTTCTCCTGTCTAGCCACGTACTTGCCCACAGACAAGTCTTTTTAAATGCAATGGTAGATATTTTTGAAGACTGGAAATATGTTATGATATGCTTGTAGTTGTATGACTTTGGACAGGCTGGGGATCTTAGCCTAGCTGGTGATAATAATTACGTTATATGCTGCGTATTCAGGATTCCCCATCTCAGCTGGGCATTCCTGTGTTCTTGGAATGTGTTTTACTGTTTTCTTACATCTCCAAGCCTTTGCTCATCTCCGTTCAAGCCTCAACCCCACCCCTCTCCTCACTCCGCGTCCTGACAAGATGGAAAGCATCTGTTGTAATCCCCCTCCATTTCCCATTCCCACTTTCACACATGGGATTTTCTCTCAGGCAGGTGGGACCTTCTCCTACCCTCAGGAGTTAGCATCCTGCCTCTTCTACTTCATGAGGACAAGATGCTGCTCCATCAGTTATCCTTAGCCTCCTATATCTCCAGCCTCATCCTCACTCTTTCCTTTCATTATAGAAATAGGCCTTCAGCATGGTTTAAAAAATAAGAAAGGGGGAATAAAGAGGTGAAAAATTCTCTTGACCCTGTTTCCTTCTCTAGATATTACTCTATCTTCTTCTCTTCAGAGTTGAGTCTTTCAGAAAAACAATCCACACTTTTTTGCCTCCATCTCACCTGCTATTTAAACCTTAACTATTTTGAGTCCTAAGGTGACCAAACATCCCAGCTTGCACAGGACTGTCCCAGACAGAGTTATTTTGCCTGGAGCAGTGTGTTTGGTGGCAGGCATAGGGGATATTGTGACATGCTTTCAATCATTTGTTCCACCCATAGACTGTGACCAGAATTTTCCTCTGTGAGATTAACAATAACTAGAAGCCCTGTTCTCAATGAATCTAAAATTGAGTTGGACAGTTCAGACTATAGGTACAAGAGATGTTTAGTGCCAATATGAGAGTGAAGAAACAATACAGGAAAATAATCTGAGGGATGTCACAAAGTACTCGATAGTTTAATTCCTAAATAAATAGTATAGGCAGGTTTTTTTTTTTTTTTTTGCTTAAAAAATGTGATGTTACTAGAGACATATTCCAGGTTGAGAAACACCATATTTATTTTTTCATAGAATGTGATGGCAGGGATGGAGAGGAGAGAGAAAGAGAGAGAGAGAGAGAGAGAGAGAGAAAGGAGGGAGAATATGTGGCTAGATTCCTGGCAATGGACTCAAGATCCACTTATTACCTAGAATAAATGTTATGAGTTGGATTGTGTTCCCTCAAAAAGACATGTTGAAGTCCTAACTCCCCGGCCCTCAGAATGTGACCTTATTTGGAAATAGGGTCTTACCTAATCAGAGGTTGTCAAGTTGAAATGAGGTCACTAGGGTGGGAGCTACTCCAATATGACTGGTGTCCTTATAAAAAGGAGAAATTTGGACACAGAGACAGACGCAAAGAGAGAAGACAATGTGAAGATACGAAGGGAGAAGACAGCCATGTGACTGAAGTGATGCATCTACAAGCTAAGGAGCGCCAAGGATTGCCCACAAACACCAGAATCTAGAACAGGCAAGGAAGCACCTCTCTCTAGCACCTTCATAGAGACCCTACACCTTGATTTCAGACTGCTAGGCTCCAGAACCGTGAGACAATACATTTCTATTGTTTTAAGCCAATTAATGGCACCTTGTTATAGCAGTCCTAGGAAACTAATAAAGTAATGAACACTATGACAAACAAAATTAAATCCTACTTATTGGGCCACACAGCATTGTTTTTTTTTTTTTTTGCATGCTTAAACAAGACTTATGTAACTATGCCATATTTTATTTCATTTCACTTCATTTCATTTTAGGAAATACTAGGAAAGGGACTCTGAACAGATGTAACACAACCTCTAGAAGCTGTCCACAATTTGAGGGATGGACTGTCAGCAGCCAAGAATGCTAGGGAGGGCTTCCCTGGTGGCGCAGTGGTTGAGAGTCCTCCTGCCGATGCAGGGGACACGGGTTCGTGCCCCGGTCCGGGAAGATCCCACATGCCGTGGAGCGGCTGGGCCCGTGAGCCATGGCCGCTGAGCCTGCACGTCCAGAGCCTGTGCTCCGCAACAGGAGAGGCCACAACAGTGAGAGGCCCGCGTACTGGAAAAAAAAAAAAAAAAAAAAAGAATGCTAGGGAACAGACTGGGCAGCTCAGTTCATGCCCAGGCTTGGTCAGAATGGGGTGCATCTGGCAGAGACTGCTGACTTGTTACGCACTCTGAGGCTCTTGTTGAACCTCATCACATCCAGTGTCACTTGGCTGCAAATCCTCAGCCTCTGGGCCAGGAAGAACCTACCCTGACAGTGCAAGGGGGTCTGCTCCTCACCAAGAAGTGGGTCTACTGGACAAGCATCTGTGTGCTCAAGTTGGTGCAGCCTTTCCCCTGTCTTCCTGGTGTGTGCTTGATCAGTATGGCACTGCTTTTGCCCTGTCTCCTACTCATGTTCGGCCGTGTCTGGAGCTCTACTGGGACACCCGGTTCACTTAGCAGGG